ACTTTGGTATCTTCAAAGTGGCTTCTAAAGAAAATAAATAGAGCTATACATGAGTGACCTATTGAAAAATCATTAACTCTTCTCAATGGTTGTTGTAGGAAACACATAATAATAAACATACATCCATTTATGAAATAGGATAGGAACATTACAAACTTTACACTCCACAGTGTAATGTTGACCAGCCCCTGGTTTAAATGTCAAGTTCTACAACAAATTCATCCAGTATCTGCTTACTGAGCGGTTTCCTTGGTGAAGTGCTCTCCTGCTCCTTAATCCTTTGTGCTGTCATTTCTGCTCAGAACCCTTCTTTCACCGCCCCACAGCTCACCCTTCAGGCCACTGTGACCAAAGCTCTTCCTCCAAGCAGATACTGAGTGTTATCTCTACACACCATGTGCCTCTCTGGCTGTGCTCTTCATTCTTTAGGCTCTAGCCATTCCATTGTAACACAAGAACTCTCCACCCGCACAGCTTCAGAAATCACAGTGACTGGCTGAGCTCTAGATCAAATGTATCCCCTTGACTCTTTTCCCGGAACTTACCTACCCGGCTAAGCTACACCTAAAACATTAGCACGTCCAAACAGAAGGCGTCCTATTCCACCCACAAATCTGCTTTTCTTCCTTCATATTAGTATTAATATTGTTACTACTGTGCATGCTGTCTGGGTTAGAAATATCTGTGCTGCTATTTAAGTATTCAAGATACGTAAAGATCAGCAAGAAAACAGTGGAAAGTAAAAGCATTGAAAGTCTGCATTGTTATCTCATTGCTGTAAATTAAAATACAGGTACATTTTTGAAGTTTCTGGCAAGATTCACAAGAAACCCTTCACCGTGGTTATCTTTTGGGAGTGAGATTAGTGGAGACTGAGGAGGAAGATGTTCACACTGCATTTAGTGTTTTATTGACTTTGTATTCCTGGACCATGTGCATTTGCAGGTTGGCTTGGAATTTATGATCCTTGATCTTTGCCTCCAGAGTAGTTGGGATTACAGTTGTGAAACGCACTTGGCTGAAATCTATCCTTGACCATAGAGGACAGATAGCTGTGAAATCCAGTTGATGTCTTTAATATATGCTTTATAGTGGCTCCAATCAGTCTGGTTCAGCCCTTTTCTCCAGCCACTGTTGGCACATACAGTAGAAGTCAGAGCTGGATTGCTCCACGCTTGGCCTTGGCTAAGCAGGAGTGATGATAACAGGGAGAATGAACTGGCAAGAAAGAAAGCTGGAGAAATAGGAGATAGTGTTTAGATTGCTAAAGGGCAAGGCATCTGAGGAGCAGCGATTTCACACGATTATAAGATGGCAGCTGTAGTCCTCGTTGCGAGAGTGGGTACAGAAGACTGCAGGAAAAGGTAGCTAATGAGGACCGAATCAGGAAACTGAGCCTAAGTGAACACACATCACACTTTCAAATATTAAGTGTTCGCAGGTAGAGAGTCTCATGGGGCTGCTTTCTATGTTCTTGGTGTCCCAAAGAACTGGACAAGACACGCAGAAAAGGCAGTGAAAGTACATCTATTGAAGGCAGGAAAGAATACTCAGCACAATAAGAATGGGCCAGTGAAAAGGCTCCCAGCAGCCTCAAGGATAAGGAAAAGGGGTCTTTTTTTTCTGGTCAAGACTCCAGGTATCTCCCAGAGGGATGTCCTCAGTGTGTTCGGCAGCTCATGCTGAATGGTGTCCTCCATGTTAACTGTGCATGTTCTTTCCCATAATTCACTGTGTTACGATTGAATCATGAATGCACCCCATATGGATGAGATGGTAATGAGCTTATCTGTGGCCAAAAGTTACTTTGGGGCACTTGGAGATATTTCCTACACTGGCACCTGACTTGAGGATTTTCCCCAGAACCTATTTATAGGCTACTACTTTGACTGTGCCTATCACTTGGGAATTAGAGAGATGGATCCCTCGGCAGGACCAGAACCCTTAAAGATTGACGGGGAGGTATTGCTTGGTATATGACTGATAGGAAAGCATTCCCTGTCTTACCCCCCACTGAGACAGCTGGCCCCCAAAACGTCTTTACAGGGTGCTGAAGGGGGAGGATCTATCTTCTATAGCTGCTTCCTGCTAAACAGGGTTTAGATCCTAGCTAGGCAGAGGCCATGGAACTCACCCTGACTGGTCTAGGGGGCAGAGGGAACTCTGAAAAAAGAGGATTTAAAGCATGGTATGGATCTGTTGTAATTTTTTTTTTCTGAGTAAAGATGAGTATTTATTCACTTTACGAAGAGATGGTGTAGTGGATTGACAACTGCTGATCAACTTATAAGCCCCAGCTGAACTGAGTAAGCATGGTACTGGATGTGGGAGGCCCACCTGGGGATTGTTGCCAGCAGCATAAGAGGCAGAACCGGAGAGGAAGAAGTTAGGCTGTTGGGAGCTGGCAGAAACTTTAAGGAGCTGTTGGTTGTGTTGGAGGAGTGTGTCATGCTGGCTTTCCTGATGAAATCGGCTGTTTTTATCCTTTGAGGAGCTCGGGACCTTGTTGGTACTGAGAATAGCTTTGGTTCACTTTGGGGGAGCTCTGGTCCTCACCTTGAGCATCATTTCCTGGCTCGGGAGGGGAAGATGGTGCACTGCCAGTCTCCTGGAGAAGCTTGCTGCGTTGGGAACTCAGCTGTCTTCACCACTGGGCGAGCTCGGGACCTCATTGCTGCCGAGGATGGCTGTGGTACTTTTCAGCGGAGCTCTCGTTCTTACTTTGCGCATTGCTTCCTGGCTCCAGTGCAGACCCCTCAGCCTGCTGGCACAGATCCTTCAGCCTGCTGGCACAGACTTCCTAGATTCCACCACTGATCTTTGGGCCTTCCCAACGCAGATCCAGATCCGTGAAACAGGCCTGCATGAGACATTGTTGCGGGCTCTGGGCCTCCAGTTGGATTCGTGGGAGGCACTGTTACGGGCTCTAGGCCTTCAGCTGGACTCATGCAGGACATTATCATGAGACCCAGGCCCTCAGCTGGATTCCTAGTCTATAGTGTGTGGGCTATAGACTCTTTTGTATGTCATTCTTTTGTATATCATTCTTTGGGTGACTATTATAAATAATCTCATAAACTATGTGTCCTATACTGTAAAGTTCCCTCTTGCAAAAATATCCCCTAAACCAACACAGATGGCTTTAAATTGTCGTAAACAGCTCCACTGACAGACAAATATCACTGTACATTGCACCAGCAACGAGCTCAAACTGCATTCCCAATACACTCGCATGGCTCCA